GTTAACTGTTGAAAACAGCTCACCAGTGCCCCGACAGAAGTTGCCTATGTGTTTGTTTCATTTGCTCACAGTTTTAATTTTGCATGCTGCCTGGGCCCATTACCTTTCACAAAAATAGTTACTTTTTAACTGAACTAGTGTTCTCAAAATTTACCAGCTACAAACCCTGGCAGTCTTGCAACATCTTCTGTTCAAACTTCCTTTAGACCTGTTGTGCTGAGTTCTGCTGAATGGCATTAATTTGAAAAGTGAAAGCAATAAGAATATAAATACACCTGTGGTTACCTGATAATCACCTTTAGAGAAACTCCAAATATGAATTCTTCTGGTGTTTCTTCCTTATTCTGTACTGATCAGATTCATGCAAACTGTATCAGAACTTAGATACAGGATGGATTTACTGCTTCTCTCAGCTGAGTCTCACATAGTCCCTGAAGTTTTTCAATACTTATATCATTACTAGCATAATTATATACTAAATGATAGCATAAACACCACTAATAGAATATAAGGAACCATAAACAACAGCAACCAACAATGAACAGCTGCTACTCTCTAAAGCATCTGAAACTTACTTCTTAAATATTTGATTCTGTGACATTTATTCATCTAAGTAAGAGTGGGGATAATGTAGTACCTGTGATAGCACAAGGATAATGAGTGGGGCAAGGATTTTTGTGGGTAATAATATCTTTTATTGGACTAACTATATAGTTGAGGGAGGCAACCTTTTGCATAATTAATATCAAGTGCTTGGAATTTAAAAGCTCGTCTCTATCCCTCCCAATTATATAGATGGTCCAATAAAAAAATATCATCCACAAAAATCCTTCCCTAAAGACTACACTAGTAGCAGAAATGATAATTAGAATATGAGGAACTGACAGTCGCATAACTGAAGGGGGCAACCAGGGTACTACCTTTGGGGGAAATGCAAAAATAGCTACAACAAAAGCACCTTTGCAATCAGCAGCACAATAGCTGGAACTGCCTTGTGTGCCATGGTTGCCCCAGGTGCAGAGCTGGCTGAATGCGGTCTGGGAGTGCTTGTAAATATGGTGGGGGTTTAATCTCCAAGTTTTTATTCTATGCATCCTAAATTGAAATAGTGGAGCATAGAATAAAACCCTGTGGACTAAACCACTTCAATTTTTCCATCACAATACGGCGAGGGGCATAGAATAAAAACCCCATGCACCATCCCTGCCACTTTCTCTGGCTGCCAGCACACTCAGCCACCTTCCTTCCACCTCCCCACACTGCCCACTCCCAGGCAGTCCCAGGTGGCAGGAAGGCAGCGGAGACAGTACACAGGGCACTGGAGGCCCTGGCAGGCTAGGGATGAGTTGGATCTAACTAGGTGCTGCCTCCTAGCTGGGGCAGCACCTGGCCCACTAGCAGCCCACCTAGGCAGTCCTGGGGGGCACTGTCACCATGGAGGGAGGAACCAGGGTCCCCTGCAGGTCAGGGGCCAATAAGGCAGAAGCGGCGGGGGGCCTTATCCTTTTTCTCAAGAGAGCCTGCACACCTCTTCCACAGCTGGGGGGTGATCTGCCAGTGGGCTGAGTGGCCTTTGAGCTGCAAAGGACCACAGTCCTTTCCTCCACAGCAGCGGTGCCCCTTGGGGCCACCCATGTGAGCTGCTAGTAGGCCAGGTGCTGCCCTAGCTTGAAGGCAGCACCCAGTCCGATCCAACTCTTCCCCAGTCGCAAGCTGGGGCAGCACCTGGTCCAGTAGCAACCCACCTGGTGTTGCCACCGCAGAGAGGAGGACTCTTGCTCTCAGGCCTGCCAGCTACTCACCCTCCCAGGATTGGGCCCCTCACCACTTATGCCTTTAGCAGGTGCCTGCTGAAGGCAGAAGCAGTGAGGGGCCTGAACCTTTTTTTCTTTTTGGCAGAGCCTGCTTGCCTCTCCCGTGGCCGGGGTGGGGGGAGGGGAGGTGACTGCTGCATCACTACAATTTGCAAAGTTGCATATTAAACTACATTGGATGTAGTTACAATGATACAAAGTCATTTAAAACCCCCAAAAGTCTTGCACACATAATCTGTGACACCATTAAGCCACACAAAGTGACATTTCCATCATGTGTACATGTTAATGGTATCACATGGAGAAGGCTAGAAGAAGCCTGAAAAAACCCCCCAAAAACAAAATCAAAGAGGGAAATAACCAGGTCAGAACTACAGGAGAAGGCGATTAAATTGAAATATGAAACTTAAGTGTTGGGTGAGATAATATATGAAGATCCACAAGATATTGGTAGCAGTTGTTAAGGCAAAAGATGAACAAAAGTAGGCAAAAAATTTGTAGTGGGTTCAGAAAATAAAACACTGAGTTTTGATACCTTATACAAGAAGAGCCAATAGGATTTATAGCACTCAATGTGGGAATGCTTGACAGGGTTACTAGCTTGAGTAAAGTCTTGTATTATGAATGTGGATTGCAGGATAACGCCCATAATCATGGGTTTTACCATCAGGATTATGGCATATGAATTGCTGCTCCATATTTCTCTTATATTTATGTGGTCATGTTTGTTTTGAAACAGCAATATGCATACATTATATTGCATATATCACTGCCTTTACGACTTCTCAACAAATGTATTATTGATGGTTTATCTGGAATATTATTCTTATTGAGTCCAATTCTTTGTCATTCTGAATATTTCATTGTTATAAAAACTTCTAGGTCTGTGATTTATTCATGCTATAATTGTGTTGATGAGTTGCAAAGGACAATGAAATTCTCATCTTGAAATAAGTGATTTATTTCTTTTATACCTCTAGGCATTTCATGTAGCCATGTGGTATTCATTGTCTATTTTTGAAGCTGCTCTGTTCCATATTGATGCTCTGGGATGCACAAAATTGTTACATTTTAAATCCTTGCTAAATTAAATCATATTTCCTGTAGTTTTATTGCATGTAATTGGGAATAAGGAGTGTTATTGTCTGTTACACTCAGAGCCTATGATCAAAGAATAAAATGAGTTAAATTGCTTATTTAGTACCAGTCTGGGAGGTTGCCTTTAGTCTAAATCCAAACTCCACACATTTTTATATATTTTATGAATGATGGATCAGTATGATATTAGAGTAGTCTACCTTTATAGCCCTATTGATAATCCCCCTGCTATTCAGATTAAACTCTGAAATAATTTGTGATATTAAAATACATTTGTTTGTATTCTGTAGAAATCTATCAACCTACTGACTGTTTTGAAACACACACACACACACACACACAAACATACACACTGATCTCCAGAACATGAGAATAGGGGGTGAAATCTCCTAATGACTTATTGTCACCATATATGTATTCAGAAATGCACAGATATATTATGCTTTAACATTAGTATAATTGTATTGACAGTGGTAACAGGAATTAACTAATCTTAATCTTACTGAAAAGATATAATTATCAGTAAATAAGTTGCCATAGCAGCTTTCATCTGAGGATCTCAGCATGCTTTACAGAGATTTACTGGATTCTTCTATTCTATGATTTCTTCAATACTTGAATTGATTAGGAACTTTTTAATGAAATTCTTTTTTATTTGAAAATGCTAATTTAAACAGAAACATTCATAGGAATGTACCAGATTGAAAATAGCTTAGGCCACTGGCAGACGTTCATTTCAAGCTATGATGGGATCTGATCTACAATCCCCAAAATTGCACCTTCTGACATGCTATGTATTATGTCAGGTTGCACGATTTGGGGATTGGGAATTAGATCTAAACTGCACCATACTTGCCAGTGCAGGGGGAGCCTGGGATCATGATCCTGGACTACCAGATAGAAAGCTTGGTGCGCAGAATTAGCTGATTGTCAGCTAGGTCCAGGAACTGCCAGAGTCTGTAACCAACCATAGTTTGGTCCCTGCCCCCAGCCAATAATCAGCTGATTGTCAAAACCCCAGCTGGGTTTTACATGTGGTTTTTATACATCCCAATGCACAGAAATAAGTGTGCCACCCAGATGGACAGCACATGTGGTTTTTACAGGTCCTGGAGCCTGGAGACCTCAAAATCTGGGGAACTTTCCCCAGTCCTGGTGTTCCTTCATGCTGGGACTTTTAGAAACCATGGGTGCAGCTTTGGGGCTGCACACAGTTTCCTGAAATCCCCAGTGCACAGGGATTTTGAGATCAGGGAGAGACTCCTTGATCCTGGGGTCCCCAGGCACCAGGAATATCAGACAACCACATGTACAGTTCAGCTGCATACATGGTTTTTAAAAGTCTAGTGTGCAGTGAGCCAAACACAGGGGAGATGTTCCCCAATGTCAGGCTTATTGTGCCCATATGCCTCCAGGGGTGAGGTCTGGGGTCCAGGGACTGATTCTGGCTTCAGCCTGATTGGATAGGAGACAAGGGGTTTCCCTATGCTGAATCCCAACACTTAGGATTGGGATCTGTCGTGGGGTAGCTCCAACTGGCCACGCATTCAATTTAAAGTGTGATAGAAACAAGCCACAAAGTTGTTCCATGTTATACTTAGAATAACTTTGTGGTTCATGCCTTAGCTTGACTTGAACATGTGGCTGGGTTACCGTTTAAGGCACAATTAACCTGTTAATTGCATCTTACATGTAATGCATGTCAGGGACCTTAGTCATAAAACAATTTGACCTCAGTTCAAGCCAAGATTTTCAACACAGGTTACCCACATTTCAAGTGGGTTCCTTGACCACTACATTATTGACTAAACTTCAAGGGTTATAAGATTACTTCTAGTAACACTCACTCTTAGGGAGCTGTTATGTATAAATACTTACATTTTCTGAAAACAAGAAATGAAAGAAATACTGACCATATAGCAAAGTGGTTAGGGTATTTACACAAGCTGAGACAAGTCTAAGTTCATAGTCCCTGCTCTACCTAATAGTAAATTATTTAAACAAAATTATTCATATGAATCTTTACAACAGCATAGCCAAAATGTTTAGGAAACCCTGGTTCATATCCCTGCCCTGCCATCTTTTTACCTCTCAGGTGAGCGTTTTATCAGGGTGTCTCTCTCTCAACATCTGCAAAGGTCTTGGTTTTCCCCCCTGTGTAGAACAAAGAAGTTTTTGAAATCTTGAAAAAAAAAAATCACTGGACAGAAAAAGTATTTCCTAATCAAGTCTGTTAATATCCTCTCTGCTACTTATAGTTCATATCCAATCATCCAAGATCTTGTGGGGGAAATTCTTGTAATCCTTCATGGTGTAATGACCTTTGAATTATAGAGAAATCTCAAACTAAACTATAAGAGATAGCTGAGGGAGCTCTCTGGACCATAAATGTTGATTTTCAATAACTCCTGGAACATGGGCAAAGTTCCAGAAGACTGGGAGGAAGCTAATGCTATGCTGATATTTAAAAAGGGTGAACAAGATGGCCAGTGTTGTCAGACTAACACTGATCTTCAAAAAATAATGGAATAGCTAATACACAAGTTGATAACTGCTTCTGTCATCATGAGAACTAATTAGCCAGTTCCTAGAACCACACTAAGCTGACTATAGTTTCTTCCTGTTTAGGTGGTAGTGTGTCCTGTCTGAAGATTCAGGATGGTTAGCTATCCTCCTTTCTCTATCCCACTACTCGGAGACTAGATTTTTTTTTTCCGAAAAGAAGTGCTCCAGTTCAAACAAGAACTAATTCTAGGAAGAGCTATGATGTGTCTTACACAGGAGGTCAGATTAGATAACAACAATCATCACTTCAATTGTACAGAGATATTCTTTTTCAACTATTGACTTATTTCAAAGTAAATTCAATTACAACCTGAATTTGGATTTGAATACTTTAAAATAAGCTTATAAAGAAGTCTTATTACACAGATAAAATTAACTGAAAAGGCTTCCCTAAGATCTTAGCTAAATACGCTTATACTGACTGGGATAAGAGATATCTGAAAAGAAATGAAAACTGAACAATTAACTATGTTGTAAAAAAGATGTTTGGTTTGAATATCAAACCTTAAACTGAAATATAAATACAATTTTAATTATAGTACTGTCCAGGAAGCAGAAAAATAAGCATGAAAGATTTCAGGAATTCATTTCTGTTTTGATTCTAATTATCATTTTTTTTTAAGTTTTCCAACCAGAATTATTCAATGTTTTAGTTAAGATTCAAAATAACCCCACATACCTGCCCCAAATTTAAATAGCTATGTGGAAAATGAAGGAGAGATAAATAACTCCTTATGATAAGTATAAATCATAGTATCATGCTGCTTAGGGTCGAAAGGGACCTAAACAGTTCATTAGGTCCAATCCCCTGCCCCAGGCAGGAACGAGTACTGGGGTCATATCACCCCAGCCAAATATCTGCCTAGCCTCCTTTTGAATCCCCCCAGGGTAGGAGAGAGCACCACCTCCCTTGGGAGCCCATTCCAGAGCCTGACAGCCCTAACTGTGAAGTAATGCCTCCTGATGTCCAGCCTGAACCTTCTTTCTAACAATTTGTGGCCGTAATTTCTAGTAACCCCCAGTGGTGCCCAGGGGAACAGAGTCCCACTCAATTTCCACTGCCCTGCCCCCCCCAGTCAGTTTGTAAACAGCCACTAGATCCCCCCTCAGCCTTCTCTTGTGGAGGCTGAACAGGTTCAAGTCCCTTAGCCTCTCCTCATAGGGCCTGCCCTGCTGACCCTGGCCATGCTGGTTGCCCTCCTCTGGACCCTCTCGATACTGTCCACATCCCTCCTGAAGTGCAGCGCCCAGAACTGGACACAGTACTCCAACTGCGGCCTGACCAACGCCACAGAGGGGAAATAAAGTGATAAAAGAAAAACTTCAACTCTTATCTCAAAAAAAATATTAAAAGTAACTTGCTACAACTGCATTTTCATGTCCAAATAAACCACCTCATCTCCATCCTCATTTCAGGAGCACCTGAAAAAAATTTGACAGTCACTTTACAAATAAAATAATGCCCTTTACAAAAGCATCATGTTTTAATTTTAGAAATGATCTGATGAGAACTACAAACATTAGAGAAAAGAAAGTGAGGAAGGGCTGTGTTCACAGAAAGCAGGTCATTTTTTCAATTATGCTATTGTTGCTTAAATTATTGGCATGTTGCTGCCTCACAGTAAATAACCTTGTGACAGGAAAAAAGGAATGAGCGCCTTGCATAAGAGGAGGCCTTTTCTAAATAGAAGTACTAGGACATTAATTGATAGATTCAGTTTGGCATAAAGATTTTCTTCCAATTGGCTGATCTATGTGAGTGAAGAACCAATCAGAGCTATCATAAAGGAAGGGCCACATCAGTGGAGAACTGGTGATTTGTCTGAGTTCTCTTGTATATAGGAAGAAACCAGAGTAAGCAGCAGCTGATAAGCATTCAGACTTTCAGATGCTTATCCAAGCCTCCCTGGCCTGGATGCAAGACTGGAAATAACTCAAACAGGATTTCTTGAAAGTTTTCCAGTACAACTTGGCTTTGGCAGGGTCAGTAAGACAGCAAAAATAGCTTTTCTTGGATGTTTTGATCACAGTTTCCTGCTTCAGACAAAAAAACAACCCCAGAATGCTCAGTCTTTTGCCTGCCTTATTTTTATGGTAAAATTGCAAAAAAATAAAATAAAATACAAAACTATTTTAAAATTCCCCAAAAGTTCAGGCATAGTTCAGGTCAAGGTTCAGGGCAAAGACTTGGAATAGATTTCTCTTGGTCAGAACTGATTCACCGTTTGCACTGGGTGGGCTACAATTTCTGAGAACATTGCTGAACACTAATATTTCCAAAATTCCATCTAGAAGCACAGGAATAAGAGGAATGTTCAGCTTTTCACCACCAGTCTGCACTGAAGAATATTTGGCTCAGTAACAGCTGTCTCCTCTCATTGTTACTATAGGACTACATATGCACAGACTCATACATGTGTCCGTGTCTATATGAACATGCACACACGAAGCCAAATGCTACCCACATAGTGACCATTGAAGCATGGAAGCCACACACGTGCATCTGAGAGCAAAACATAGCTCCAACAGCTGGATTTTTTAACATAACCACATAAATTACAAATCTCATTGACCACTGCATAAAACTGAAATTCTGACCACATAAGAACCTAAATCTTACTGCTGCTCCTGCAGCTGTTTTTCTTTCTCTGCCCTCTGGACTGAGAACAACAAAACAGAAGATAGACATTATATGCTGAGGATAGTCTCAGACTTTCTTTTTCATTGTGTGATAACACTGTCTTCAATCTTGGCTTCACCAGGAACATGCCGTTACACCCCTGGCCACACACACAGTATGCCCAGCAACTGAGGAACTCAGAAGCCAAACTCTATAAATCTACTTTGCTGGCAACATTTAGTGCTATGGTTATGAATATTATGGTTCTGTTGTTGACTTGGCTGTGCTGTCTTTAACTGCTTTAACATTTCAAGGTTTGGCTGCTGCAAAGGCCTTCTCAGCTGCCTCTCACAGGAATCAAGTGAAGGACACATACGCTTTGGTTTTTATTCATCTCATTTGTTAAGTTTCTCATCGCAAAGGTACTTGTGCCTTCTCTGGTAAAGAATTCTGTCTTTGTAACAGAGATGGTGTCCAGGAACTGTCCCCAGACTTTGAGCATATTCATTACTATACCACAGCACTTTCCGAAAGAATAGGAGTAAATGTAATACAAAACAAAAAATTTAAAAAAAAAAGGGACTTTGTGTGGTAAGCCATTTCATCACTAAACCATCACCTGATAATCTGTTGCTATTGAATACTCAGCTTCCATAATACCTTCTTCCCAGTTGCTACTGTATTCATCTCCATCAGCCTCCTGACAAGTGTGGATAACCTCAATTGCTCATTGAGTGACTTATTTACCAGCATACCAGCTTCTCAAAAAAACAAGTGGTGCATCAGGTGGCTCCAAAGACACAATTATTGTTGCCAAATGTATTGTGCTGCATCTTCACCCCTTTCATCTTTTTCAAACAGTAATCAAAGCTCTGTGATACCTTGACAATTTGTAAACATAGGTAAAATTTACCTGATCCTTTCAGAATCTTAATAACATTCTGGCAGGAATTAATTTAAATTGTATTCCAAATGGGTACATTTGACAAACATACAATGCTATTTTTAAGCATTAAGAGGATAAGACAGTTAATATAGTAAATGTTATACAGGAATTAAACCTCTCCCCTAAACTGGACATATATGCACTGTAAGGCTGTGCAAAATAGTACCGTTCTGTTTCGAGTTGCATTTCGATGGAACAGTGTTTCATTTAGAATTTTTTCTCATTTCGAAACCACTGATCCATTTTGTTTTGTCGAAACAGTTTTGCTGTTTCGACGTTTCACCTATAGGCTATAATGGAGAAGCACAAAACAGCCTATAACTTTGTCATTTCTTCCCTGATTTGGATGAAACATGCAGGCCTACTAGCCCCTTCTGAGGCCATGAAGTCTGCCAAGTTTCAAGGAGATAGGTGCAGGGGTTTCTGGGATGCTGCACATCAGGCTGCTGACAGGCAAAACTTGTGACTTGGGTGCTTGTGTGACCGATTGTGTCTGTCTTAGGGCTTTTCAAAGGGTTTTTCAACCCAAAAGCTGGCATCCCAGGCAGCTAAGCTGAACTCACCTGGAGCCTCAACTCCACTGCAACCAGCAAGCCTCAGGCCTGTCAAAAACATAACAGGTCTGGACTTTCCCCAGCCAGGACTTTGTGTGCATGTGTTAGCTGGAGGTTATGGCATCTCCTTTCTAAGCCATTTCCTGAGGCCCTCCTTCAGTTGCCCCACCAGTGCCGGATGTCTGGTGACAGAGGCTTGCCAGGAACATTGATCCCCTGGAAGCTCTCCATTTGGCTCTGAAATTCTCTCACTACAGGGATCACCTAGTTAAGGAGGGCATCAGCAGTGCTGAGGGTCTCAGTGGCCTCGAGGAAGGGCCTGAGGACCACTAAGAACTGGGAGATGGTATCCTACTCAGCTCTGTTCAGGGGGCCACTAATCCCAATCTCCCCGAGCAAGGCCATCTCATGGATGGCCTTCTGTTGTTCCACCAGCCTTTCGAGCATCAGTTAATGTGGAGTTCCACTG